CTGCACAGGGTTTCCGAGGCTGTAAATCTTTACAGGAACAAAAATTCTCAGTCTTCTCCAGCAGAAAGACTGATAGCTTCAAACTGCTGACCTTGAGGTTAGCAACCCAACTCATAACCACTACACTATCATAATGTGCTGGACCCACAAGGTCAATTTGAACTCTCCAACTGCTCCTCGGAAACCCTATACAGGGTAGCTATGAGTTGGAACAGATCAAGGACATTTTACAACCCATCATCTATGGCACTTAACATTATATATATCAATATATGTGTGTGTGTATACACACGTGGTGGTGGTGTACCGTGGAGTCGGTTCCGACTTATAGCAACCCTGCGTAGGGTTTCCGAGGCTGTAAATCTTTACGGGAGCAGAAAACTTCATCTTTGTCCCGCGGAATGGCTGGTGGTTTCAAACTGCTGACCTGGGGATTAGCAGCCCAACTCGTAAACAACCACTACACTACCAGAGTTCCAAATATATATCACGTGTTAGTGTATATATGCATGTGAGTATAAGTCGGTTTGAACCGCAAGGTTTGTGGTTAAGCTCACCAGCTGCTCCTTGGAAACCCTATACAGGGCCGCTATTGGTCGGGTCGGAACCGACCCGACAGCAATTAATTATATATATAATTAATATATTATATAATATATATATTGAGAAAGAGAGAAAGTGTACTGGTGTGGCGCTGTAGATTAATGCGCTGGACTGCAAAGTCGGTTTGAACCGCAAGGTCGGTTCAACAACAACATATATTTACAACAACATATAAATGTTGTTGTTGTTAAGTACCTTCGAGCCGGTTCCGACTTACAGCGACCCTGTATGGGGTTTCTAAAAGGTAGCTGGTAGGTTTGAACTGTTGGCTTTGTGGTTTGCAGTCCAGCGCCTATCCTACAGCACCACACCAGGACTCCATAGATATATATAACTTGAGATTTCTACAGAAACTACTAATCATAAGCACCACCTGTTAGGAGAACATTTATGAAGCAAATTTCTTTAGTGGAATTCAGATTTCCATATGAAGATTTCCCATTATTCCAATGTTGCACTCTGGAGAAGAGGGAAGAGAGAGATGTTTTTCTTTCTATTCCCGCCCTTTCTGTCTCCCGCTCCCCACCCTCTCCCAGGCAGTTGCAGAGTTGGAGAAAGGAATGCATCTAAGTGATGTAATTCGTGACTCCAAGATGGTTACCATGGTGACAATCAGACCTATTACGCTATCAGTAGGGCAAGAGATTCTTTAATAAAGCCTTCAATCAAGGGGGTTAAGCCACAGCCTAAAATATATGGACAGGAAGAAAAATATCAATCTTGGGGCCACCCAAGCGCAGATACTTCTTAAACTAAATTCATTAGACAAGTTGTTTCATCCTTAGGAACAAGACCTTGCAGCCTCCCCAGGGTGGCAAGGAAAAAGGACGGCCCGCCCATCCCTTCCCAGAATTTGAGAGCTCATTGGTTAATAGTTTTGTCACTCAGAATGACGGTACGGGGTGAGAGGAAAAGAGGAGGAACCATAGAGACTTGGCTTGCAGCCCTTCTATCTTAGAAAAAAAAGGGGTGATCGGGGAGGGCGGCGATTGGAAAGAAGTTGGGAGGACAGTGGAGGCCGTTCGGGGAAGCCCAGCTGAGGAGATAGCTGGGTGGGCTAGGTCCTCAGGCTCTTGTTACTTGGTGGACCGCGCCGGCCGTTTTTGCTCTGGAGCTCATTCCCTCCGTATCCTGCTCCTAGCATCGAGCGCCCAGCTTTTCCGACAGTTTCCAGTTTCCCATCGAGCTCTCTTTAGCCCTGGAACAGCCTTCCCTTCCCCTTCCCCAAAATCTGGACCTCAACCTTCATTCTCCCTCCTTTCGTGCTTCGCTTCCTTCTTTTTCTTTCATACTCTGCATCCTGCTTCTCCTCTTTTCCCTTCAGTAAACCTGGATCATCAACAAGGTTTTTCCTTCTGGTGCCTGCCCCACCCCCGCACTAAAAACAAAGAGTAGCCCCGCCCCCACAGACACACCACAACAAACACGGTCCACCAACACACAACGAACACACAAAAGTCACTGACAGGAAGCCGAAGGGGCGTTTCACACGGCGTCATGAAGTGTCAGAAGCAAAGGTAACCCTGGGAGCCTTGGTTCATCGGACCCTTGAGCCTGGGAAGTGGGGGTCACAGCGCAGGGCGGGAGCCTGAGATCAGGTTAACTCCAGGTTCCCTACTCTTTAAAGATGGTCTGTCTGAGGTATTTGAACCTATATTCAAAATCTCACTTCTGGTTGAGGTTTCCTTGTCAAAGAGACCCTGGTACTCTTTCCCAGTTGAATGAAAACAGAATCGACGGTAAGAGATACTCAGGCTTATTGCTGCCCCTTGCTGAGAAGGGCCTCAGCATGGAGATCAGTAAAGTACAAAGCTGAGTTTAGGACCTCTGGAGAACTAGTAGCACAAGAAAGCTGGTTTACCTCCACTTGTACTATTAGTTGTTGTTGTTAAGTGCCGTCGAGTCGATTCCGACCCATAGCGACCCTGTATAGGGTTTCCAAGGAGTAGCTGGTGAGCTTGAACTGTCGACCTTGCAGTTCAACCGGGTTTTGCAATCTGGCGCATGAACCCACAGTGCCACACCAGGACACCTGTACTATTACTGTTGTTGTTATGTGCCATGGAGTTGGTTCCGACTTATAGCGACCCTCTACAGGGTTTCCGAGACTGTAAATCTTTACGGGAGCAGAAAGCTCCCGTTCTCCCTCAGAACAGCTGGTAATTTCGAACTGTTGACCCTGAGAATAGCAGTCCTTCGTAACCACTATGCTACCAGAGCTCCTTTGCGCTGTATATCTGCACTGATACATAAAATGAGATTAGGGAGTACTTTCTATCTTTAGTGGTTGGAGCAGCTTGGCCAAGTATGGGGGGGAAAAAAGAAACAAATCCAGGATATTCACATTCTACTTGTAGTTTTAGTCCACAAATAAGTGTATCTTGCTCATCTTAAGTACTTGTCAACCATGCAAACAAATGTTTAGATGCCATTGACCAAAAATTGGCCTTTGAAAACCAGATAATCATATTAGAGATCATTTCTGTTTATTGGAATCTCAAGGAACTACTTTCAATTACAGGGTTAAGAAAGTATTATTGATTACTAGAAATAAATTTGAGGGAGTTTTTTGATACTTTGAATAGAATGTGCATGCCCATTTTCTATACTTGAAGTAGTTAAAAATATTTACACCCTGATAGCTTTCTAGCTGATATATTTTTTAAAATACTGAATTGCTTACTTCTTCTGCCTAGGTCCCTATGTTGACTATTGAGAGAAATATAAATATGGCTTTCTACACTTGTAATACAGTCTTTGCTATTTCCCGAAGACGGTAAGTGTTGGAATTTTTTCTGGAATATTTATATGAACTTTCCTACATGGAAAAGATATGTGCAAAAGCATAGATTAGTGCATAATTTAAAAACCAACTTTGTTGGTTTTAACAAAGCTGACATTCTGATATATTTGAATTTACCAAAATTTCTCTATATGTTTTACATGAAAGCTGGGGTGGCCCTAAGATGGATATTTTTCTGCCTGTCCACACCTTAGAGGCTGTGGCTTAACTCCCTTGATTGAAGGCTTTAAAAAAGATTCACTTGCCCTACTAATAGCATAATAGGTCTGATAGTCACCATGGTAACCATCTTGGAGTCATGAATTACATGTAAAATATATAGAAAACTTTATACTTTAGAACTCATATGTGCTGTATAAACGATTTTGTAGATGTGTGGCATTGGTAAGACATTTTAGAGTGACACCTTTGTAACTGAAGAATGCACATGAGGCCTTTAGATGTAAAAAGGCGGTAAAATGGAGAGCAAGCTAGTCCTAGGGCACTGACTTACCCTGTTAAGGTCTGTTATCACTTATTAATTCAAAAGAATATTCATGGAGAATTTACTATGTGCCAGATGCATTGTGCATTCTAACTTTTGGCCATTTGAAAAGTGATTTATTCTTGGAAGGCCTTAAAAACATTGTGAAAGAATGGAAAAACTATTTCTTTTCCAGAAGAAGTTTCTTTGCCAGTATCTTTATTTGCCTGCATAGATCTTAGTTTTATTTTCAAACAATCTGATGTGCAAGTTTAACTGAAGATTGGTTGTAGGACGCTGAACAACTCAAATATAGAAATCCATGGTTAGAGTGCTCAATTCTAATTGTTATTACTAAAATTCTCGAGGAACTTTAGGTGAAGGGCATTTTAACAGCACCTGCCTCTCATTTGAGGGGTGAATATAGTCACTGCATAGACAAGGCAGAATTATATGATTAGCTAATCCCTATCAGGACTATAAAACGTTTCATTAAAACACTGTTCCTAAAGTGGCTGACAACACAAGTCTACCTTTTTTATGACAGATAAAGACAACACTTTATATAAATGTTTGCTATTAAGTTTTTAAGTTAATAGTTGCAGAACTTCTAACTCCTACTATAGCAATTTATTATGAATTAAGCTATTAATATTTCTCAGGGAATATATTCAGCTGTAGAGCATATTGACATTCAGCTGAGATAGAAAGTCATATTTAATTCAATAATGAAATCTATTCTTAAACACAGGCTTAAAGACCATTGTTTTATTTTAATCATATAAAATATCTATTTCTGTAACTTTAAGTTTTTAATAGTATGTGCTCAACTCAGAGGATGTTGCTTTTTATTCCAGATTCCCTATTCTTTTTGTTCATCCTACGTGCTCTTCTTATTCCCCATCACTTGCATATCTTCAATTGCCAGATTCCCATATATGTAAAATCTATCTGAAGAACTATGGAAGCAAGAAGTATTCCCATTCTAGCCAGTCAGGCAATAAAGTACTTCACTCACAAACTAGAACAATACAGAAATTACACACATCAACATGCTGGCTTCAGGAGGTCCCTGGTAAACCTCAGCCAGAGCAAACCACAGAACAGCCACAGGTGACAAGCCTGCAGCCCACAAAAGAAACTGGTTTGAAGACTAAGGAAGTAAAGCGATCTTATAGACAAATAATCCTGGATGAACTTAAATATTATTCCAATGGATTCTACTTGCTTTGGATTGACACCAAAGTTGCTGCCAGAATGGTTTGGAGGCTGTTGCATGGACAGGTGCTGACCAGACGAGAGAGACGAAGGGTAGGCAAGATTATATTTGAGAAAGAAAATGTGAAGTTAAAATTAAATGTTTGGAGGGGATTGTAATCATGACAATGAAACAATATATGATAGGATGAATGTAAAACTAATGTTCTCCCATGTACCCATGTAAATGATCACATAATTCACTTAATTAAATAAAACTTAAAAAAAAAATTAAATGTTTGGGAGTCAGGTTTTAAACTCAGCTTAAAACTCATCTTAAAAATCCCAGATTTAGGAATAGTAACTGCTAGTGAGCACCAGAGTTGCTTACTGGATTTATTAGTTGTCTGCAACTGACTTGCCGTACAACATTAGGCAAGATTCTTAAAATTTGTATATATTTACTTATAGAATGGTTGCAATTCTGTTTTGTAATCTTTCCAAGGATTTGTATATCTGAAGCACAAACTGTTGTTAATATATTAATTATATGCATTCTTAAAACCAATTTTAACATAGTATGTTATTAAAGTATGGATCACTAACTTACATGAAAGCAAAGATACGCCAATAACATGTTTTGATTATCATAGATTTCCTTGAAGATATCCTATAAATATTACTTAAGAGCTATGGCAAAGAGGAAAACCCTGCGTTTCCATTTTACAAAACAGCTGCAGGAAATCTGTCTTGGGCTTTGAACACTTTAAGAACCCAAGACAGGCTTTTGTTTTTGTTTTTGTTTTTGTTTTTGGCATGTCCTATAGTAATGAATATTGCATATGTATTTAATTCTGTAGCTGCTGAGAACTTGTGCTGATCTCTTCCGCCTGGTACCATTTCTGGTGTTCATAATTGTGCCCTTCATGGAATTCTTATTACCATTGTTTCTGAAATTCTTCCCAGATATGCTGCCATCAACTTTTGAAAGTGAATCCAAAAAGGTATGTAGGATATTTTAACTTTGTATATGTGTTTGTGTGATAAGATATACGATGTTGTTGTTAGATGCCATCGAGTTGGTTCCAACTAATAGTGACCCTATGCAGAACAGAACGAAACACTGCCTGGTCCTGTGCCATCCTCACAATTGTTACTCTTGAGCCCATTGCAGCTGCCACTGTGCCAATCCATCTTGTTGGGGGTCTTCTGCTTTTTTGCTGACCTTCCACTTTACCAAGCATAATGTACTTCTCCAGGGAGTAGTCCCTCCTGATAATATATCCAAAGAGATGAAGTCTGGCCATCCTGGCTTCTAAGGGACATTATGGCTGTACTTCTTCCCACACAGGTTTGTTTGTTCTTCTGGCAGTCCATGGTACTTTTAATATTCTTCTCCAACACCATAACCCAAATGCATCAATTCTTCTACAGTCTTTCTTATTCACTGTTCATGAAACTGCCATGGGTTGGGTCAGGCACACCTTAGTCCTCAAACAGACATCTTTGCTCTTGAACACTTTTAAGAGGTCTTGTGCAGCAGATTTGCCTAATGCAACACATCATTTGATTTCTTGACTGCTGCTTCCATGAGTGTTGATAGTGGATCCAGCAAAATGAAGTCTTTGACAACTTCAGGTTTTTCTCCATTTATCATGTTATTTATTGGTCCAGCTGCGAAGATTTTTGTTTTATTTATATTGGAGGTACAATCAGTACTGAAGACTGTGGTCTTTGATCATCAGTAAGTCTTTTAAGTCTTCTTCGCTTCTAGCAAGCAAGGTTGTATCATCTGCATATCACTGGCTGTTAATGAATCTTCCAAAATCCTGATGTCATATTCTTCATGTACTCTAGCATCTTGAATTATTTGATCAGTATATAGATTGAATAAGTATGATGAAAGAATATTATATAGCCCTGGCGCATACCTTTCTTAATTTTAAACCTTTCATTATCCCCTTGTTCTGTTTGAATGACTGCTTCTTGGTCTATGTACAAGTTTCTCATGACCACAATTAAGTGTTCTATAATACCCATTCTTCACAATGCTATCCATATCGTGTCATGATCTGCACAGTTGAAAACCTTTGCATAGTCAATAAAGCCCAACTAAGCATCTTTTTGGTATTTTCTGTTTTCAGCTAAGATCCATCTGATGTCAATAATGTTATCCCTAGTTCCATGTCCTCTCCTGAATCCAGCTTAAGTATCTGGCAGTTCCCTGTTGATGTACACTACAGCTGTTTTAAAATTATTGTCAGAAAAATTTTTACTTGCATGTGATATTAATGATGTTTTTGATGATTTCCACATTCCACTGGGTCACTTCTCTTTGGAATGGGCACAAATATGGATTTCTTCCAATTTCTTGGCAGAGATGAGTGAGTGCCTCCTATGCTGCATCAGTTTGTGGAAAGATTTCAATTTGTATTCCATCAGTTTCTGGAGCCTTATTTTTCTCCAGTACCTTCAGTGCAGCATGAACACTTCCTTCAGTACTATCAGTTTTTTAAAAAATGTTTTATTGTGAATTATGTGATAGTCTACATGGGAGAACATTAGCTTCACATTCAACCTACCATATATCATCCCACTGCCATGGTTATAATCCCCTCCATGCATCATCAACCAACCAAAGGGTATACACTGCAATCCTGTCCCCTGGTTGTCAGCACCCAGCCCCTCTTCCTCTCTGGGTCCAGAGTCCCCAGCCACTCCATCTCTCCACTTCATCGTCTCTGGTGTCACTGTTTCTCTGGGTAGGGTCCCATACTCTGCTTTTCTCCCTTGATGGTCCCAGGGACCTCTACTCCTGGACTCAAAATCAACCACTCCCCTCCTTTTAGTACTATCAGTTCTTGATAATATGTTACCTCTTGGAATGGTTGAACATTGACCATTTCTTTTTGGTACAGTGACTGTATATACCTTCTATCTTCTTTTGATATGGTCTGCATCATTCAATATTTTCCCCATGGAATCCTATAATATTGCAAATCAAGGCTTAAGTTTTTTCTTCAATTCTTTCAGTTTGTGAAATGCTGAGTGTGTTCGTCTCTTTTGGTTTCTAACTCCAGGTCTTTGCTTAGTTTATTATATGTATGTCTTCTCAAGCTGCCCTTCGAAATTTTCTGTTCCACTCTTTGACATCCTCATTTCTTCCATTTGTTTTAGCATCTCTACACTGGTGAGCAAGTTTCAGAGTATCTTCTGACATCCTTTTTTTTTTTTTTTTCATGTTTTATTGTGAATTATATGATATTTTACATGAGAGAACTTTAGTTTTACATTCATTCCACCGTATATCGTTTTATTGCCATGGTTCCGATCCCCTCCATGCATCATCAACCAACCAAAGGGTATACCCTAGAAACCCGCCACCTGCCCCCCACCACCACCATTCTTCAGCACACAGTCCCTCTCCCTCTCTGGATCCAAAGTCCCCAGCCACTTCATCACTCCATGTCATTATCTCTGCCTCTATCTCAGGCCTCGCTGCTTCTCTGGGTAGGGTCCCGCTCTTGGCTCTTCTCCATTGATGGTCCTAGAGACCTCTGCTCCTAGACTGGAGAGTTAATCCCTCCCTTCCTTGCTACAAAACGTCTACCTTTATATTTCCAACCCTCACAATCAGTCCTGATAACAATTATTCACTATTGTATCATAAGTGACCCTTCTGCATTTCATTTCATCAGCTCCGCCTAGACAGATTGGATAGTACTCATTGGAGAGTCTACTTTTCTCCATGCCCCCTAGCTCTAGGTTCCCTCTTGAAAGCTTGTAAGTCAGTCACTTCTTGCCTTTGTAACCACCCCCCCCAAAATTTGGGTATCCAATGTCCAAGTTGCCTATCTCTGTCTACTCTGTGTGTGAGGGGGTGACATCCATTTTGATCTTGTATTTCTTTCCTAGCTTTTTAATGACCTTTTGCTTTCTTCCTTTATGATGTTCTTGTTATCATCTCACAACTATTCTGGTCTTCAATAGTTAGTGTCTAATGCATCAAATCTTTTCTTGAGATTGTCTCTAATTCAGGTGGTATATGTTCAGGATCATATTTTGACTTGCATGGACTTGTTTTAATTATCTGTAGCGTAGTGGTTACGAATCGGGCTGCAGGCTTTAAGGTCAGCGGTTTGAAACTACCAGCCGCTCCGCGGGAGAAAGATGAGGCTTTCTACTCCCGTAAGGATTTACACCCTCGGAAACCCTGTACAGGGTCGCTATGGGTCGGAACCGACTCGATGGCACTTAACAACAACAACAACAGCCCAAACTTGCATATAAGCAGTTGATGGTCTGTTCCACAGTCTGCCCCTGACCTAGTTTTGGCTTTTCCACAGGTTCTTTCAACAGATGTAGTCAGTTTGATTTCTGTATATTCTGTCTGGTGAGTTCCATGTGTATAGTTGCCTTTCTTGTTGAAGAAAAAAGTTATTTGCAATGAAGAAGTCATTAGTCTTGCAAAATTTATCATGCTATCTCCAGCATTATTTCTATCACCAAGGCTATATTTTCTAACTACTGATAATTCTTCTTTGTTTCCAACTTTCACCTTCCAATCACCAATAATTTTCAGTACATCTTGATTGCATGTTTGATCAATATCAGACTGAAGAAGTTGGTAGAATTCTTCATATTTATCATCACTAGCTTTAGTGATTAGTGCATAAATTTGAATAGTAGTAGTATTAACTGGTCTTCCTTGTAGGCATATGGTTATTATCCTATCAGCTAGATCTTGAAATGTTCTTTGATGATGAATGCTATGCCATTCATCTTCCATTTGTTGTTCCTGGTATAGTTAGTCATATGATTATCAGATTCAAAATAGCCAGTCAATGCCAGTCAATTTCAGCTCACTAATGTCTAGGATATTGATCTTTATATGTTCCATTAGTTTTTGACAATTCCAATTTTTCTAGATTCATACTTTATACATTCCAAGTTCCTATTACTAATGGATGTTTACAGCAGTTTTCCTCATTTTGAGTTGTGCCCCATCAGCAAATGAATGTCCCCAAAACTTTACTCCAGAATATGCCCACCAAGGGAGATATGGAGCTAGAGTTGGAGACTAAGACCAGTGGTCCAGAGCAACCTCCTGAGAAGCCATAGAAGCATGATAGTAGTATGGTGAACCTGGAGTGAGTCACTGACTACACAGAGGAGAAGGAGATACAGAGTTCCAATCTGGAGATAGCCATGTCCGTGACTGGAGACAGGTGGTCTAGGGGACAGAAAGTCAAGCAGGAATGGGAGAAGGAACTGGCAAAAGTCACCTTCAAGAAAGGTGAGCTGGAGATCTCAAGAGCAGCAACAGAGCAGAGCTCGTGGGAGCACATGGGCAATGTGGTCAAGACTCTGATTGCACTAACCCAACTGATTCATGCTTTCGTAGACATACCCACCCGATAAATTTATTACAATAAAAATGCTTTTGTGTTCTTAAAAAAAATAAAACAAAACTTTACTCCATTTGCATCGTTATGGTCAAATTCCTAGTGCTATTTTGAATGCCTTCCAACCTGAAAGGCACTTCTTCCAGCACTATTATCTGATACTATTCTGGTGTTATTCGTGTTTTTCATCTTCTGGCACTATATCTGACAATGTTTCACTGCTATTCACAAAGTTTTCAGTGACTAACTATTCTGAAGTAGTCTGCCTGTCCTTCTTCCTAGTCTGTCTTTGTCTGGAAGCTTTGCTAAAACTTGTCCACCATGGGTGAGCTTGCTGATATTTAAAATACTGGTAGCATATTTTCCAGCATCACAGCAATACACAAGGCACATAATTTCAGTGTTTTATTTTGAGTCATGCCACATCAGAAAATGAAGGTCCAGAAGACTTTAATTCCATGCATATCATTATGAACTATTCTATTTTAGGAGGCAGCTCTTCCCCAGTGGTATTTTGATCTGGTGTTTGTTGGCCTTGACTACCTGAGGGGCTCATCTTACAGCACTATATTGGGTAGTGTTTTGTGGTTATCCATAAA